TTTTTAAAAAAGCGTAAACTGTCCCAAGTTTTGTTATATCGTATAATATAAGTTGAAATAAGCTTCATTCCATATAATTTAATTTCAGTGCAGACAATGAGACAGTTTTTCCCCAGAAAAAGCTTCACATTGATTAAATTTTTAAAAGTAACGTCAAGCAGAGTCATACGTTTTTTGACGTTACTCATTGTGACGTAGGCAAGTTATGTTATACAAAATGGATAAAATCTTTTATCCAATCAAATGACATGCTACAAGTAAAATTAAATTAGGTTGAATTCACCATGCATCGGACACATACCTTGCTTCGAACAACTTTAGGTAATAAGTTCTCTTTCAACTTACGAGTTCCGTGTATTTATTTGTTTCTGTCTTAAATATGAGGATTTAAATTTTTTAATGATACCGATTGTAATTATCATGTTGCGATAAAATACCCTGAAAATACCCATGAAGATACATCATATTTTACATCATCAAAGGGGAATAACCAGAAATTTATGATTTTGCAATTTTTAGAGTTATTGTTCTTTAAATTTGACTTCAACGGAACGAGTCAGACTTTGGTGAATGTTGTCAAAGATTGGCAATTTTACATAAATTTTAAATAAATTTCTCTTCAATGTTTGTATAATTCTTTTTAGAGCTGGTTCTTACTAGTATGTTCATTTCTCTGTACATGGACACAAATTAACCATGCATCGGACACTTTCCGATGCAATGATAATCACGACCATTTTCATACAGAACCCTACTGACAGCTGTTTTTGTCGGAAATAGAAAATAAAAACTCCAAAGTTTCAGTCAAAATACAAGTTATCCATATATGAGGTCTAAAATCTGACTCAATTTATTTCTACAAACCAGAGTATGATAACCCATTGATAACCCATTAGAGAAATCAAAGTACTGAAAGTACTGAAAAGCGGTTAGCATGCTTTCATCTAATATGTTCCGAAAAAGTGCATAAAATGATGATATTTAAGTATGCATATCTTTGTCCAATGTCATCAGAGAAAAAAACCCAGACATTCTGTTTTTGTAATACTTAACTTAATAGTAAAACCAATAACATTCCAAACTGATGTCACAGATGGATGCAATCTAATTAAAATTAGATGTTCCGAATCCGCTACTGCTTCTCAAACATCTAACAACATCCTATTTTGGGTCATGTAAGAGTGAATCTTCGATTAGCCAAAGAAAATGGTTCCTCCGAAATCCTGGCTTATAGTTCAGATGGGTTTCTTGTTTTCACCACCGAACCAAAACACCCGAGGAGTTTTGTAGTAAAAAAAATATGCATTGCAAAAGCTGTGTTATGTATGGCGTGTGGGGTATCTTGTATAGTTTGTGCTCTTTCGTTTGCATTATTCACGTTCAGATGCCAGACTGCAGAATATACATGAAATTTATTCCAAAATTACTTTAATTCAACGTAAGACAGTATCAATAGTGATGATATGTAGCCGTGGAATTAATTTGAGAATTGTTTACCGAGGCTTGAATCTACATGGCCAAAGTGTTTGTGTTTACTTGTACATGTATTCATAATCGAAAGGTCGCTCTGATGTGACCCCGAATGGGATGTTAGATGTTTCAAAAGCGGTAGCGGATTTGGAACATTTAAACAAATTTTAATTAGATTGAAATGCATGTTTCAAAATTTAAACATGAGATTTCTTCAGTTTGAAAGACAGGAAGTGCATTTTTAAAAGTTCTTTCTTGATGGCATCCAATTGTTCTCTGGATGAAAACAATTATGTTGATGTTTAAAATTTAATTGTCTTTTATGCTCTATTGAATCTGAAATTAGGTAATTGTAAAGCCTACTATAGCAAACAACTAAAAAAATGACAAGTTAAATTCTTTAGATTACTGGAATTGGGATAGTGTAGATCTACAGCTGGCTAGTCAGAGAAAAAAGGATGGCTGAGCAGAGACTTTGTAAATGAATTGATATCAGAGAGCTTCAGTTGTGTAGCTCATCGCGGCTATATAATTAACCTGTCAACGAGGGATGCTTACTTCTTCTAGGCAACGGATCCCACCTCCTGAACTTTCAGGAGTCAGCTTTTCTTCTTAAATCGATCATTGATCATTCTGTATTTTGATACAGATACTGAATACTTCCGTTTAGTAATATTATAAACTACTACTTCTACGGGAAGACTGGCGAGTAAACAAGATTATCAAGCTTTATGAAATGTACTTTATTGACTTTTCAAACAAGTAAATGTTCGAATAAAGTAAATGGTATATGAGAATCATTTAAAAGAAGTCTTGCACAATATGTCTAGATAAGTACATATAATGTGTATTTGCCATATACTCTTCATGCAATATTGTTCTCAAATAAAACTTGAAAAGGAAAGTTGTCTAATCAATCAATACTAGTATTTAAAAATTCAAATGTACACTAAAAATCAGTGTAACTTAAGAAGTTACCAGTGTCACTTTCTTCAATATGTCGGTGAAACAATATACACTGATTTCTTTTCAATGTGCCTCTAACCACCTGTATCTTAATTTAATTCTTCTCAAACGCTAAAAACAATAATCGACAAATTAGACAAATTCAAATTTTAAAAGTATTTTCACAGCAAATAATACGTTCCCTAGGAATTGATCAAATTTTCAAAACTTATAAATATTAAGTATATATTTTAAATTTTTGCTAATTGCCAAAATTTTTCATACCTTATTCTTCTGTGAAAATAATATCGGTTGATTTTTAGAAGAGGATGACAATGCTGATTAAAATTTATATATATTTCTCCATTTTTTTTCAAAATTAATTTTACTACATGTACTTTAAGTGCCCCATTATTTTTTTTTCAAAACTAAAAGTAAGTGATCCCTTATGATCGTTTGTAATAAATTATCAAAGAAGGAGTAGAGAATTTACCCCAGGGAGCAGAGCTTTTATAATCTGTTTATTAGACAGAGAAGAAAAGAGAAGAAAAACAAACGTTTCATTGTGGAGGTAATCCTATTGTTTCCATAAAAACGTTACAAAAAGTGTAAAACTTACAGATGCATTCGGTGTTTTTATAAAAGCGTTTTTCAGGTATTACTTAACTTAATAAATGCTGTTTCTTAATACTTTGGCAAGGAAAATCAAACTCGATCGAGAGATTTGCTGATGATTTTGCAGTCTGTAATAACCTTCAACCTGCTGTTTAATAAACCGTATCGTTCAACTTTCAAAAATAAACTAACATTTGCTATAAATCGCGATCGCACGATGTACATGTAATAAGGACCTAATTCTCAGTTCTTTGAAGTAAGTGTTCTAAGTATTGTCAATGCTTTGGTAAATACTAATAAGAATTCGATATAGTCGTTATAATAGCCACTCTTCATACACAGCATATTGTCAATCTCTCACCAGGGGGTGTATTACGCCAACAGTATACAAATCATAGGAAGCGCTTTGCTGAAGTTACCGTTGTCGATAAGTAGCGCTTTGTGGAAGTTTCCGGTTTTGATTGCAGAAGGATAAGGTAACGTGCGATAAAGCGAAGTCGATAGGTAGTGCCTTATGGAAGTTTCCGGTTTTTTGGAGCCCATGCCATAAAGCGGTTAGCTAGCTAACCGCTTAAAAAGGCGCGAATTACCGCATTACAAGCATTTTAAAGCATCGAAATCGAATTGAAACCAAAAGATGCATACAACCAGTGATAGTTTGACATGGAAACAGAGAATAGTAAGCGTTAAAGAAAATATTATCCAAAATTTGATCCCCTCAAAAGTTCGACGACAAATACAGATATTTCGAATTCAAACCAGATTTTTTTTTTGAATTCAGTTTTTGAGGATATATTAATTGCAGCAGTGTATAATGGTGAAATGCAAATTGTGTTGCGAGTGTTGGATAGCCATGAGCGAAACTTCGACCTGAAAATGTATATCAAATCAAATCTGGAAATGTTTTAATTTATATTATTTTCTACCGAAATATTCACTGCAGCAGTGTCGTTTTCGTGTTGCAAATAACGAGTTTTCTGGATGATGGATTTAATATAAGTCTACTTTAAGCTTAAAATGGATTCTTCTCGAGGAAATGATGCTTCCAAAATCTTATTCAAATGTGAAATTGTGTCATTTAAATTCAAGTTTTGTGAATTGAAATAATGTGTATTATTCATGGGCTTAAATGTGTAAAATCGAACAGATCCGATGCAGACACTGTGTTCTGGATTAACCTATATCTCCAAGTTCTTTTTGTTATTCAACTGTACATTAAATCGTATTTAATGTATTAATTTGTTTTTGTTTCCTTCTTGTACACATGCAAAGGTTTACCTGTAACTCTCCATTCTGTTTGTTTTAACTGTCCATTCTTTTTTTAAAAACTGTCCATTCTTAAAAAGAATGGACAGTTTTCCAAAAAGAATGGACACATACAGGTGACTTAATTGATTGTTAGGGGAGTAAGCTCAACACTAAGCTATAGAATGGACAACACAAACAAAAGGTTTACGTCACGATCATGTTTTAAATTGTATGTTGAAGGCAGAAATATACCACTATACAACCATTAAATATCCCTAAGCAAGCAATCGATATATATGATGCAATTCTATAACCGGAGGATATTAAATAGAATAATTGATCTTGCCTGAGAGTATGCGAGAATTTGTGACAGCCTGACAAAATGGAGGAAGTGAAACAGAAATTTAGGCAGTTTTCAAAGGAGAAAATTTTGCTACAAATGCAATGCTTACAACACGGTAAATATCTATCAATCCATTCATTTACCTCAACGATAAGTTGACCGAATTTCGATTTTCTCTTTACTGTTTATTAAGTTCATGGTTGTAGTTTAGAATGAATATGAATCTTCATAATGTCTTTTAAAATAATTATAAATTATTCCTTATGTTACGCCCTTTTGTGAAATTTAACGCAATTTAAAAATCCCTTTGAAATGTTAAACAAAGGAAAGAGTGTACGATCAAATGCCTGAACATGTTTTGCTATATTTCATGTAAAAGGATCGACTCCTACTAAACAAATGATGGATTTCTATACCAGGGAACTTTGGAAATACTTGGATTTTGCAATAGGCACAGAGGAAGATGTTAAATTACGAAGAGAAATAAACGGAGTCTATGTGGAGGTGATGAATGTTAGTCAGATAAGTGATCAATTCATTTCTGGAAGTGCCGCTGAAGGATTTAAATTTCATTGGAGTGATCTTGATATAATGTGGTCCTTAACAAAAGAAACTGTTGTCATGGAATTAGAAGGATTGACAAACTTTAAACATATTAAATTCATTGCAAGTGACATTGGTTGCAAACCAAGCTTCTGTAAACTTGTGCCTTATCCTTTTGTTAGTTTAATGAAAAGGTTTGTCAAAGTGTGTGATGCCGAGTGTGTTTCTAGGATAAAGTTTTTTGAAGATTGTCACAAATACAGCTACAATAAATGCACCGATAGCACAAGTCACGGACCATGTGTTACATCATACATATCGAGGGAATACGATGTTTGCTTTTGCTTTCCTATACACCCAATTTCCTCACATAAGATTTTGAGGAATTTTTCCACAACATTTTGGAATGATTTAAAGTTACGTCTGTTAGAAAAAAGTGTTACCGTGATGCATGTTGTTCCAAAAGGTCCCACAAACGGCGATGTTAAAGGTATCCAGTGGCTTAAATCATTCTGTGCTCTTGAGCAACACATTATTCATTCACTAAATCACGTTCAATTCTGTTGTTATGGTTTATTGAAAATTGTTATCCATGATAAAATTGAAGAACATAGTGAAATGTATGACACTTTGAGTTCATATCATTTAAAGACAGTTTTGTTTCATGTTTTGGAAGATATACATTCCGATTTTTGGATTCCAAGAAATATTCTCTACTGCTTTTGGATTTGTTTTACACGCCTAATTTTATTTGTTAGTAAAGGTGTTTGTCCTAATTATTTTTTCCCAGAATGCAACCTTTTTCTCCAGGGTACAACTTTAACGAAAAAAAGCAAAATTGAAGAAATTCTTTTGGATGTCATGAAATCAAAGCCATATTATCTTGTAAGTGTAACCAGAATTTCATCTCTTAATAATCCTGCTCGTATGATTCAGCAAAACCCAAAAAAATTACGAGACCTCATGACGTTTTCTATGGCATTGATGAATGTGAAAGGGTACCAGGGAACCTTTCAAAAATGTATGCTTTCCATTGTAAAAATATTTCAGTTTTTAGAAAATGAGAAAGACGAACGAATAATTGCGTCGCTGAAATATCTATTCATCAGTTTTATGAAAAGAGCTGGGGTCATTCTTTATGAAAAGTTTGTTTTGACTGGTTTTACCCAGTACCTACTGTCTGCGGAGGCAGCCTTTATCTTGGAACGGAATTTTCTGGCATCTGCAGGACTATTTTTAGCCACACTGTGGTATTGCCAGGGAAAATATAACTCTGCAATAGAAGTGCTCTGTCATGTTCTCGACAAATTACCAGATAGTATACTCATGTTTGTTATTTATAATAGTTTCCTCTTGTGTGATATTGACAAACCAAGGTGTAATATATCGCATCTTTTAGAAAAATATTGCTCATGGAATATATCCTTTCCTAGAAATAGCTGTTGTTATCCCGAAGATCTTAAAAGTGATGTTCATGCTTGTCCGATGAATGACTTCGTAATGTATGACAAATCATACGCATTATTTTTGATGTTCCTTTGTCATTTGGAGATGGGACATAGCAGGAATTGTAAAAATACACTTCGAAAACTGTATGACTCTTACAAAGATATACGTTTTTGTTTGTTGTATTCTCATGCTCGAGAAAATTCTGAAAAACTTGCAACGATAGCCAAAAGAAAATTGAAAAACAAAACAAGACAGAACACAAAGAAACAATGTAAAACAAAAAAGAAATGATAAAAAATACTGCGATTGTTACAATTGTTGCTTTTCTGCAGACTTAATGAATAATCATTTTTAAAGCTATAGTTAAGTGAATAATGTAACAAGTATCAATAACAATAACTTAGCAAATACCTGTTGTTAAATTAAAAAAAAATGCATGTGGAAACCAATGTAATGTGTGTTATTATATATAAATAAAATACATTGTATATCACTTTAAATGTACATATATTTCAATGTTTGGTACACTTTAAAGCATTTTGAAAACAGTTAAGAATTCATATGGATAATAGTCATAGATATTTCTGTATTACTAGTGTTCCCAAGAAATAAATAAAAACTCCAATTATTCGAGGAACGTGTCGCCAGACCTTCAAGTAAATACAAACCATCACCATAACTTTTTGGATGAAATACATATACTTAAAGTTTGTTTATTTAAATCAGTTTAGAGAAAACACAAAGTAAGAATATATATATATATATATATATATATATATATATATATATATATATATATATATATATATATATATATATATATATATATATATATATATATATATATCTCCAACATCCCATTGTAGAGTTTATTCAAGTTTGGTTCAGTCTTTGCCTATGCGGGCAGCTGAAAGAACGCACTATTTGGTCAATATAGTTTTGCTTGTTCGTTTCTTGTTTGTGTAATGTCCTTTTCGAGACTGTTTTACTCATCTTGGGACGTCACCCCTTTCCAGTAGAGACCGCAAATTAAATCTATACTCGGCCCTCAGAGCCGATGCAGCCTCCGAAAAATTCCACTTGGTCGGCCAATTCTCTCTCAATGCGGCACACCAACTGAAAATATAGGTCACTACTGTGATCATTTCCTGGTGCACATTGTTCAGAAACTTTTCATCTGGAATTACCTCTAGCTTGCAGTTCTAATCTTATCTTTATTCTCCGATGTATATTTGAAAATGATTTTTTTTAGTTCAACGGACGATGCTACAAACAAATTATGCATAAGGTAAACCCCTGATGAGGCGGGTTTCACTAATATGAAATGACATGTGCTATTAATACTACCAAAACACTCTTAATAAAAGTTTTGACAAATGACCAACTGACAAAATGCTTCATTTAGAGTGTCGGGTTTTTATAAGTTTAAGACATGTCTGGATCTAAGGTTGCCGTTTTTTTTTTTTTTTTTTTTTTTTTTTTTTTATGCACCAGTTATACCACCTTTCGAAATAATTCCACCAAGCTTGGGGAAAAAGTCTTTTCAGTGTATGTGGGAAAGACATTTCAATTTAGTATTTATCATCTGAAAATACATATGATCTTAAGTTTCGTTTTTTTTGGTCTAACCTACACATAAATGAACAAAAAGAAACAGTAACTCGAGTAATACAAACCAAGTCTGTTGTTTCTTAAATTGTAATGAATACCTTGTTTTTCTTTTCTACCTTGTTGGATCTTTCCAGCAAGCTCAGAAAACCGAGGCAACCTTGGATATGTTTTCTAAGCTTGCTAGCTGGAAGATGCCGTGTTTCACTTCAAAATTGAAATTACAGTAAAATACAGAATGCTCAAAGAGCAGTTAGAAGTTGATCCATTGTCGACTTGTAGCCTACTTTTTGATTCACCATTCTGAACTGTGACACTCTCCATCCCCCAAACCTAAACCCCCCAGTGTGCCAATGTGCCTTCCTATTAATAGTTATTCGATTCTGAAAATTAAAGAAATGGTTCAGATATCTCCTCTTGTATTTTATTTTGCTACAGCGCTAGCTCACAAATCTTTTTAAAAAGATAAGCTTAATATGGTTTCATTTTGGATTTTGTTCACCAAATCAGTTGTAGAAATACAGCTGTCAATATGTACTTTATTTATATCAACATGTAGTTTATTGATGTCAACATGCGGTTTATTGATGTCAATTGGCGAGTTATATTTTAAAATGCTACTACTGTTTTTATGAATTTAGTGCGGGTATTAGAGGATTCCATAAGAATTTTAGAACTGCTTGTCAAATTTCTTCATAGTAAAGGTCTAATATCCACGCCTTTGCAAATGAAGGATATGGAGATAACGAACAGTATACAATATCAAAGTCCATAAACAATACAAAATAGGAGCAGAACAAACAGAGCCCTGTAAAAGATCTGAGGCGGGATCAGGTGTATTGGAGGAGTGAGCATCCCCTTCCGACCGGTCAGACTCACCGTGCGCTTCCTGTCATGATCGGGAAATAACGGAAGAATCCGTCGTCAGTACAGTGTGTAAATAATTGACTAACAATTAGTATGAAAAACGTCGGTATATCAAAAACGTCAAAATATGAATTAATTACGTCTAACCACGGATGATATTAGCTAGGTTAATTCGTCAGCTTAGCGAGTGACTTTTATTTTGATTCCCGCACGTTGACACCAATTACACGAGGCTTATCTAATTTGATTACCCACACAACCTCTTCGATCTTACTGTTCTTTTAAATATCCATCTGTCTTCTTTATACGTACCGTACTCTTCTTTGTTGAATCAGGCATAATCATATTTTACATAAGGGAACAGGCAAAATTTATCACAATTATGGGACCGGTACAAACAGGCTTGGGACAATTAGTTTTTTCATTGCAGAAAACCATGGGACAAAAACATTTTTAGCATTAAGTATAACCATGGGACACAAACATTTTTTCAATGAGTTACACTACTGAAGGCTGTTCAAAGTTAATTCTATGTTTAACGTCACATCCAAAGTTCAAAACCTACGAGGGAGGGAGGAAAAAAATAAAATTTTTAAACAATTGTGAATTTATTCAAATTAACCTATTCAGTACATTACAAACACTATAATTGAATAATAAGAGTATTGGATATGACAGCTAAGTCTAATTTCTAAGCAGAGTTTTTCCCTTAGTATGTAAATGGGTTGAGTCCTTTTGTAAGCAAACAATATAGACTAAATTTGCAGGAAAGTGGCTTTTAACTTGGCCTTGTTTGTCCTTTGGATTTATATTGCCACATGGTACCCTGCACTAGGCTGTAGGGAAATGCTTCTTCTTGTGGGAATAGTTGTACAATATCTACAATTAAAATTTATGATGACAATATTTAATACAGTACATTCTTATATTGAAATATCTTGAAATTTAATTATGCTGTATTTTTACTTATAGTACTGGATTACAAGCATTTAGTTTTGAAAGTGCTTTACTAATATTTGGACCATACATGTACATGTAGCTGTTAGATTATCTTACCTTGAATTCCAAACACATGACAATTTGATTCTTCACTTCTTGGAATAGCCCAATCACTTTCCTTACTCTCCTTCATTCGAAAGGCCCCATCTTCTGTAAGCTTCTCTCTGCTCAAATGGAAATGACTAGTATTATCCTTCCCAAAAATTGTAGCTAATTGTATATGAATACTACATTTATGAAGAAATTTATCTTACTGTTCCTTTAAATTTTTAAAGAAATATTTTAAGATGAAGTTAATTTTAAAATTTAAATGATGCATCTCAATGTATATTATAAAATCTTGGTTTTTGACACACTTTGTAAAGTTTGGATATTCTCCAAAATTCGATGAAAATTTCAGGCAAAATAATCACGAACTGATCTGAGAGTCTGTGATTCGAAGACTGACAAAAAAAAAATCAACAAACTGGAGTTTAGCATTAACTTCTTTCATAACATCATCTATTTTCTACTTACATTTATGATCTCATTCTGTTTAATTAATTAGTCTTCTTTCAATAAGACACCAACAACATTTACTCAATAATGACAATATTGAAGCCCATTTTTCTGTCAGTACGGGAAGCAGAATTATGTCGCTAAATGTAGAACCAAACCGGAACGGATATACGAAATTCTGAATTGTTTCAATTGTTTTTTTTTTTGTTGTTTTTTTTTTTTTAAAGTCTGTTTGTTTTTGTTTGGCACATGAAATAGCACATGTAACATAAGATTGGCACTTAGAAACATAAGTTGGCACATAAATAAATAAGACAATATAGGTGTTTTAAGAAGTTAATAGTATAAAACCTAATTTTCAGATATTGATCGCATTTTGAAAAGACGGATTTCTCCTTAACATACGCGTGCGGATGACGTTAAACATAGAATTTATTTTAAACAGCTTAACCCAAGAGAGAAATTCATTATATTTAAAAATATATATATTCTTTTTTTCCAGAAAAAGGTCGTATCTTCAAAAGTCAAATGAAAGATTCAAATAGCAAAATAATTCTTCAAATTAAGGCAGATTAATTTGCCCTTATACCAAATTAATCTCATTTAATTGACGGAAGCACATTATGATATGTTAGAACTGTTAATTGAACGAATTGGCTAAAATTCAAAAGCCGTCTTGGTACGAGTTAATAAGTTAGTATCACTTCCTCTTCCGCCATTCAGCTACAAAGCGAGGCAAACTAGATCAACATAACAAATTATTTTAAAAAATATCAGAAGTAATCGTATCAATCTTCACAACCCAACCGACCAGCAATGCCTCCAGTGCGAGCGAAGATCACTACACGGTCCAGGAAGGAGCGTAATCGAAACTTTGTGTCGCCAGGCAGAGGGCGAGGGAGACGACCTAACCATGCCAATCGTTCTTTCCACGAGGAGGACCCCTCAAACACTACAGCCCGTCCAAGGGGAAGCCTGCCCCAGAACACCACACCAACGCACACAGCCACAGCAACGGTGGCGGATTCCACCCATGATGCAAATCGGATCGAGTCGGATACGTTGAGCAACACGTCGGGTGAGTCGAATACCTTGATTCTCCCCACAGTAAATGCTTTATCGTACAATACAAACAATGACGAATTAGAGGGGCCCCCATTTAGCATTTCAGACTATCAACCGGCTCAGACCCCCAGCTGTATAGACCCTATCAGCGCCCACGTCCCCCTAAAAAAATTAAACAAAAGATTTGGGAGGGAAAATTTATTGATCTATCAACATTATTAAAATCGGCGCGGGAAATTTCAGACCACTTAGACACACAAGGCCAAATACAAATACGTAATGGCACAATGTGCCTTGTTAAGCATAAACCCCGCAACTTTTTGTCAATTGACAAATGGACATCGGCCTTCCTCATCTTCACAAGTATTATGTTAGAAAAATACAGAACACGAGCCCAAGAATTCTTGAAATATATGAGGGATATAAGAATGGCCGCTGATAGATCTGGGAATGGTTGGTCCACCTATGACGAACAATTTAGGCTGCGCAAAGTTTCTGACCCACAATCATCTTGGGGCATTATAAACTCGGAACTCTGGTTGATCCATGTTACCAACAACTAAACCACACAGGTCCAAGAAGAGCCCACGTCCCCCCCACAAAATTTCTACTCCCATGATGAACAGTTCAACATTACAGAAGCTAAGAAAAATGTTAATTCAACAACAAATCGTTACTGTTATGATTTTAATTCAGGCAAGACATGTAAATTTTACCCAAATTGCAGGTTTATCCACTCGTGCAATTCATGTGGCAGATCGCACCCCTCAATCAAATGCAGGAATAGCCCAATTGAACAGTGGTAGTATATATATATATGTATATATAAGATAGACAAGAAACGCAAAGAATTCAAAATGAATATATCAAAATCGTGTCACAGAACCGGGAGGGGGGGGGGTTATTTCTCACGAAAACATATTCGTCACCAATACAGACTTGGGGAAATTGGACAGAACCTACCTGTCTGAATAAGTTAATAAGTGGATTGTGGTTCAGGGGAAGGGGAAAGTATCCCCTAATGTAAAGTAATGGAGGAACATCATATCGATGTCTGTGGCGGGTCCGGGGGGATAAGTGGGAGGGTTGTTGAACATATCTGGCTCGTTGTTTCCCTGCCCAGCCAGCATTTAAGTTGGTGGGCACATTGTTGGGTAGACAGGTTGTCTACAAAGTATCCAACTATGGCAATGTTTAATGAAAGTAAAGTAAAAAGTCAAGTGACAAGTTTTTCGATTGGGGTCGTAGCCAAGTCTGCAGGCCTGGGGCCCCCTCCACCTCTTGTAACAGGAGGGGAGGCTTAGTACTGGAGTACTTGGGTGTTAAAGTACTGATGACCAGTAGCAATCACCGGAAGCAGGGTATACAGATGTGCTCGCAACTCTCCCGGGCCCAAATGTCTAGTACATAAATTTGGGATCCCAGGCACCTGTGACCAACACAGGGCCACTGGTTTTGCCCGGTACTCTTTAGTCGGTATGCCAGCTGTCCTTCCTGGACCCTAATTCTTATTGTACATTTATGCAATGCGGCCATTTAACGCCAACTCTCCCTCTTTGTCCATCACAGTTATGAACTACAAAAAATTGTACATGCTTTTCCAAGTCTTAAATAAATTTAAAGAAAACCATACAGTTGTTGTCTATTGCAAAGTTAACATCAAGGAAAGGGCATAGTCCCCCTATGAGCACAAAGAATCAAGTAGCAATGCATGTCAGGACCCGCAGGGCAGTGATCGCCTGACTGTTCAATTAAGGCAGATTAATTTGCCCTTATACCAAATTAATCTCATTTAATTGACGGAAGCACATTATGATATGTTAGAACTGTTAATTGAACGAATTGGCTAAAATTCAAAAGCCGTCTTGGTACGAGTTAATAAGTTAGTATCACTTCCTCTTCCGCCATTCAGCTACAAAGCGAGGCAAACTAGATCAACATAACAAATTATTACCCACCCACCCAGCCCCTTCTGATAGATTTAATTTAATACTTTTGTGAAATCACATCCTGGAGTGTGTTTGGGTTCTCGTGGTTTGGGAAAAAACTGGTGGTGGACATGGGTTGATGGGTCTCTCAAAGCCCGGAAAACAGCAGAAATTAAACCTCTCAAAGATTGGTTCTTTCACAGTATTAAATAAGCATGTTCCATTACACAATCCCATAAACCCACCAACAATGAACAGAATTATCCATCATTAGACAATGCAACCATTGGCTAATGAAAATAACACCAAATTGCAGTAATCTGCTGTCAGATTTTTTGCATTTTTCAGATATCCAGCAACAAATACGACCAACGGAATCCAGCTCCCAGGAATTGAGGTTGAGGAATGGCAGCCAATCTGATGTCAAGCACAAGCCAGTTCAAAAAGTGACTTAAGACTGTGATTAAACTAGCTTAAAAGTGACAGTAATTAACATGTCTATCTCATAGTGTAATTTAACAGCCAAATTACATACAACCCTTTAATAAAATCTTTGTCGCATTGTATTAAAGGGGGGCGGGTCCGGGGGGATAAGTGGGAGGGTTGTTGAACATATCTGGCTCGTTGTTTCCCTGCCCAGCCAGCATTTAAGTTGGTGGGCACATTGTTGGGTAGACAGGTTGTCTACAAAGTATCCAACTATGGCAATGTTTAATGAAAGTAAAGTAAAAAGTCAAGTGACAAGTTTTTCGATTGGGGTCGTAGCCAAGTCTGCAGGCCTGGGGCCCCCTCCACCTCTTGTAACAGGAGGGGAGGCTTAGTACTGGAGTACTTGGGTGTTAAAGTACTGATGACCAGTAGCAATCACCGGAAGCAGGGTATACAGATGTGCTCGCAACTCTCCCGGGCCCAAATGTCTAGTACATAAATTTGGGATCCCAGGCACCTGTGACCAACACAGGGCCACTGGTTTTGCCCGGTACTCTTTAGTCGGTATGCCAGCTGTCCTTCCTGGACCCTAATTCTTATTGTACATTTATGCAATGCGGCCATTTAACGCCAACTCTCCCTCTTTGTCCATCACAGTTATGAACTACAAAAAATTGTACATGCTTTTCCAAGTCTTAAATAAATTTAAAGAAAACCATACAGTTGTTGTCTATTGCAAAGTTAACATCAAGGAAAGGGCATAGTCCCCCTATGAGCACAAAGAATCAAGTAGCAATGCATGTCAGGACCCGCAGGGCAGTGATCGCCTGACTGTTCAATTAATGAATACTAATTACAAAGTATAGAAATAAACGAACAAAAAAAATATCGATATATCTGTAATCTGAAAGACTCTTAGTTTTGTAACAATTATTTCACCAACACTAAGATGTTACCATGGGACAGTAACATTTTTTTTAGTCTTAAGGCATGGGACGGATGTTTTTTTTCAAATAAAAGGCCATGTGACACATACTTTTTTAAAATGAGATTTTGTTTTGTACTGGTCCCATCATTGTGATAAATTTTGCCTGGTCCCTAACTTAGTTACAGTCTGATACCCGCCTTTTTGTTCTAAAGTGTCATCTGTTTGTTAACCTTTGCTTGTAATGCTTACTGATCTTGTTTTATATGTACTGTGCCGTTACACGGCTTATATGAATATATATTTGTAAACTGTTATGTGTTTTTTCGGTTTTTGTCCATATGAAATGGTTTAGTCTACCGTTTATATCCGAATACTACTCGTGTTACTATTTAGTTTTTCTCGTGGCTCTTCTGCCGCACTGCCTTTTTTCTATCATGTTTAAAGATTTGAGAACCACAACAGACATTTATCGTTTTATCATCTTGACGTCATCTGAATAAAATCTGAAATGATGATTTAGGCGTCATATGTACGGCCTACTTTGTGCCAGCTTTATGCTTACCTTTTCTTGTGATGTTTTGTTTGACGTGTGTTATAGGTACTTTTTTCTCCTCTTTTTTCGGGGATCAGACATTATCATAATTTACGTAACTTACAATCAACGCTTGTGGGTCTAATCCCCATCTTGCGTTAAATTGTTTACAATTATACCGTCATTTAAAGATCTCTATGAAATGTATTATTTGATTTATACAACCAAGAAAAAAAGCTGCAGTGAGCTTGCCTAGCATTTGAAGACATACCCGTAAATATATTAAGGTCAGCATGCAAGATAATTAAGGAGATAAAACCAACTCAAATATCTCTCATTTTGATAAATTGGTTATTTTCTTGCATATTGGCATAATAATCTTGCATGTTGACATAAATAATTTGCATGTCTACACAATTATCTTGCATGTTGACATATGTGAATATATAAACCAGTCACATATGAAAATAATTCTGATCACAGGAGTCTGAAGTTTAAATCGTACCCCCCCCCACACCAATACTCCACCCTCGACTTAAAAAAAACACCAGGATTACTTTAACGTAATTTTTTTTGGTTGGGGGATGAACAAATAGGTCTTGGTTTGACCAAGACTTTTGTGACTAATTTGTTTGTGCTATTTATTCAAGTTAAAAAAATCTGACTGCTTGACAACATGGGCCGTGCATGGCACTTTTTACACCTTGACAGCTCATCCTCGATTCTAAACCACAAAATCGAAAGTTACGATAAAAACCTCAGACTCCTGTGTTCTGATGCATTTTGCTTGTATGATGTCAGATAACGACGCAAGTACATTAACATATACTCAAATATTTGCACCTATCTTCATACGTATTGAAGATAGGTACAATTGAATTAAAGATATGTACAGTTGAATTCATGATAGGTTCAATTGATTTGAAGATAGGCGTAAATAATTATACCTATCTCTAAATAATTATACCTAGGTACATATGAATTAAACCTATCTTTAAGAGAGTTACATCTATCTTTAATTCAATTGAAAATTGGTTCAATTGAATTATACCTATCTATAATTCATTTGAAAATAGGTATAATTAATTTTATGATGGGTACAATTGATTTGAAGATAGGTTCAACTAGTACATATCTAAAAATAGATAGGTACAATTTAATTATACCAAGGTGCAATTCGTTTTGTGTTATAAAAAAAATGAACGCTGCCTTGGAGATAATATTGAACATGAAGGAAAACGAACAGAGCCTACAGAGTGGCGATAACGAGGATAAAGAAGAAATACAGTTAAATTCAAAATGTACAAAAAGCATCATATACCAGTACTTATTAAAATACACATGTATATCATGTATGTATATCTTGTATGGCAGCCAGATGAAGATTCCGATAAACTTTTGCACCAGCTCTGGCGTACCGGAAATGACGTATGATCAAGGGAGTAATTATCAGACAAATATCTTATTAATTAAAGATAGATTAAATTCAATTGTACCTATCTTTAAATCTGTATACCTACATGTATCTTCAATTCATTGCATTTGTATTAAAGATATGTATAATTGAATTGTACCTTTCTCTAATTCATTTGAAGATAGGTACAATTTATTTGAAGATAGGTACAATTGAATTGAAGATAGGTAAAATTGAATTGAAGATAGGTACAAATATTTGAATATATGTTAATATGGTGTTCCATACTTAAGTAAAATTAAACATAATAAAAAAATCATTTTAAAAATGTTTTGCAAAGAAAAGAGTGTACGATCAAATGTCTGAACATGTTTTGCTATATTTCATGTAAAAGGAACGACACCTACTAAACAAATGATGGAATTCTGAACCAGGGAACTTTGGAGATACTTAGATTTTGCTATAGGCACAGAGGAAGATGTTAAATTGCGAAGAGAAATAAGCAGAGTCTATGTAGAGGTGAAGAATGTTAGTCAGATAAGTGATGAATTTATTTCTGGAAGTTCCGCTGAAGGATTTAAATTTCAATGGAGTGATCTTGATATAATGTGGTCCTCCACAAAAGGAACTGTTGTCTTGGAATTAGAAGGGCTGACATACTCTAGATATATTACATTCATTGCAAGTGACATTGGTTGCAAACCAAGCTTCTGTAAACTTGCGCATTATCCAAAAAAGTGTGACAAAGTGTCTGATGATGATTGTTTTTCCAGGATTAGGTTTTTGGAAATGTGTCATAAATACAGCTTCAATAAATGCACCGATATCACAAGTCACGGACCATGTATTACATCATACATACAAAAGGAATACGATGTTTGTTATTGCTTTCCTATACACCCAATTTCTTCAAATAAGATTTTGAGGAATTTTTCAACAAAATTTTGGAATAATTTAAAGTCACGTCTGTTAGAGAAACGTGTTACCTTGATGCATGTTGTTCCAAAAGGTCCCACAAAAGGCGATGTGAAAGGTATCCAGTGGCTAAAATCATTCTGCCTTCATCACAGCCTTCATCTTAGAACGGAATTTTCTGGCATCTGGAGGACTATACTTAGCGACACTGTGGTATTGCCAGGGAAAATATAACTCTGCAATAGAAGTGCTCTGCCATGTTCTCACCAAATTAACAGATAGCCCAACTTTGGGTTTTATTTATAATAGTTTATTATTGTCAGATATTGGCAAACCTGGATGTAATTTTACGCATCTAATAGAAAAATACTGCTCATGGTTTATGTCCTTACCTAGACATAGCTGTTTTTATCCCGAAGATCTTAAGAGTGATGTCCGTGCTTGTCCGATGACTGACTTCGTAATGTATGACAAATCATACGCTTTATTTTTGATGTTTCTTTGTTATCTGGAGATGGGACAAAGCAGGAATTGTGAAAATACACTTTGCAAACTGCTTGACTCTTACAAAGAAAGTCGTTTTGGTTTATTGTATTCTGAAGCTCTTGAAAATTTTGAAAAACTTGCACTGATAGCAGAAAGATAATTAAAAAAAAACTCAACGGAACACAACGAAACCAATGTGAAACAAAAAAAGAAATGATAAAAAGAAATCCTGTGATTGTTACATTTGTTGCTTTTCTGTAGACTCAACGAATGATCATCAAACCTATATTTAAGCGAAGGGTGTAATTCGTCAACAATACTAACCTAGGGAATTCCTGATTTTGTATTAAAAAAAAAACATTTTGCTGGTGGAAAAAAATTGTAATACATGTAATTATAAATAAAATGTATTGTGTATCACTTTAAATGCAAATATCATAATGTTTGTTACACTTTAAACCATTTTGAAAACAGTTTAGAATTCACAAGGATAATAATTATAGACATTTCTGTACAACCAGCATTGCCAAGAAATTATATAAAAAAACCTCATAATATGAATGGAACGTTTTGCCACACCTTAGTAAAGATAGGCTATCAACTTAATGTATTTGATAAAATACTTTAAGTTTGTTAATTTTAATTAGTTAAGAAAAACAGGAATAAATGTAAGAAAATTAAATGTAATAATAGTCTATAATTTAAGAAATAAAAAACAATGCTAAAAATTCTCTTGGAAATG